AATGCTGTTTGCTATGCTGTTGACGTAGAAGGAGCAACTGCAACAGATTGTGAAGGTGCCCAGAGCAAAGGAAAAGGGCCTGATAACAGTAGTAAAGGAATTATAGAGATATAGTATGGGTGTAAAAGGAGCAGCTTGGCCTGCTCTCCTGCAAGTATGGTGAACGAGACATGGCTGGGGAGTGCAGTTGTAATCAAGATGGAGGACAGAGGTCAGTCCCTGTAATTGTAGAACTCAATACTAAGCCTTAGAACCTGTAAAATTCTTTAGCAGAAAATAAGGAGTTGATCCTCCAGCTTGCGATGAGCTTTGTTGGATCACAGTAGCAGGCCAAGCCTGGAAGTGTTAACGTGGGAGCAAGGTGGTTTACTAAAATGGCAAACAACTGGAAAGAGTGGAGGTGTTCCACAAAGTAGTTACCCAGTTTGCATTTGGTCTTGTCACCATCAAATACGGTGCACTGTGAGCAGTGAATACAATGAGCTAGATTGAAAGAAGTACTCAAGTGAGATGTTGCTTCACCTCAAAGGTATGATGTGGGCCTTGGATAGTGACGAGGGAGGTCCTAAATGGGCAAGTGTTAGACCTTATGCAATTGCATGGGTGTGTGCCATGGGGTGTGAAAATGTGTTAGGAGTGAAGGAGGAGTGGAACAAGTTTTGCGGAGGGAACGGTCCCTACATGATGCTGACTATGGAGGATGTGGAGAGATATATTTGGTGATGGCATTGTACTGGAGGTGGCTGAAGTAGTGGAGGATAATCGATTGAATGCAGAAACTAGTGGGTTAGAAAATGAGGATGAGGGAAACCCTATTGTCATGGAAGGAAAGGGAAAGGATAAGGTCAGAATTGCAGGAGATGGGTTGGACGTGGTTGAGGGCCCTGTGATACTCAGTTGGAGAAAAAGAAAGGTGGCATCATCAAAAATGATGTGATGGAGATGGAGAAATTGGGAGGATGGAACGGAATCCTTGCAGGAGGCAGGTTGTGAGGAAGTGCCCTTGAGAGTAGGAGTAGCTGTGGGAGTTGATGGGTTTGTAGTGATTATTGGTGGGCAGCCAGTGCCCAGAAATGGAAACAGTGAAGGCAAGGACAAAGTAGACTGCTTGATTGGCACCCTATCCATCAAGTTCCACATTCACTCACACCACCATTACTACACACTGGCATCAATGTGCACCATCCACAAGATTCACTCACCAAAACTCCTCTGATAACAGCTTCCAAACTCAGAACCTCTACCATCTACAAGGACAATGGCCAAAGATACATGGAACAATGCCACCTGCAGGTTCCGCAGTAAACCACATGCCATTCTGACTTGGAACTATATTCTATATTGTCACTTCATCCTTGATTAAAAATCCTGGAATTCCCTTCCTAACAGCACTGAGAGTCTCAAGGACTACAAAACTTGAAGAAAGTGACTCGTAATCAACGTTCCCTCCGAAGCTGCTCAGGTGCTTGGAAGCTCTGCACATGCCAGTAGCTGCTTCTGGGAAGGAAATTTAGTGGAGGATGCTCACCACCACCTTCAAGGACATTTGGGAAATGGCAAGAAATGCTGGCTTGACCAGTAATGTGCACATACTACGACTTTTTTTTAAAACTAGTTTCCATCCATGTAAACACATTTTTCTTTATAATGCAGTTCTAGTCTATTAATCATATATCTTAGCTTGGGTACAGATCCAACTCGAGTAGTGTACGAGATATATAGGATAAAAAGAGGCTGTTTGGCCCATTACATCAGTTCTTTGAAAATGCTACCAAGTAGTGTCAGCCTTTTCCACGCCAACGTCCCAACATCTCATTTCTCATTCGACATTCTCACTTGGCCTGCTTTCACCTTACAAATTATGAATTCCAGATTATTATAAGGCAATTTTAATTTTTACATTGAGTTATGTCATCCCCAGTTCTTTTGTTAATTGCCTTACTTATGTGTCCGCTGATTAATGATGCTCCCACAAGCGGAAGCACCTCTCCTTATTTACTCTATCTATCTCTGCTTAACCTTTTTCTTTATGATGGAGAACAATCACAGCTTTTCTGCATTACTGCACCTTGTTCACAAATTTGTGTTATAGATGAATGTGAGGTGCTGCATTTTGGAAAGGTAAAACCGGGTAGGACTTATACACTTAATGCTAAGGTCCCGGGGCATGTTGCTGAGCAAAGAGACCTTGGAGTGCAGGTTCATAATTCCTTGAAAGCGAGGTTGCAGGTAGACAGGATAATGAAGAAGGCATTTGGTACACTGGCCTTTATTGGTCAGTGCATTGAGTACAGGAATTGAGAGGTCATGTTGGGAGGACATTGGTCAGACCACTTTCAGAATGCTGTGTTGAATTCTGGTCTCCTTGCTACAGGGCGCATGTTGTTAAACTTGAAAGAGTTCAGAAAAGATTTACAAGGATGTTGCCAGGGTTGGAGGGTTTGAGCTATAGGGAGGGACTGAACAGGCTGGAGCTTCGGAGGCTAAGGGGTGACCTGACAGTAAACCTGAGAGGTTTATAAAGTCGTGAGAGGCATGGATAGGGTAAATATTCAAGGTTGTTTCCCCAGGGTAGGGAGTCCAAAACTGGAGGGCATAGGTTTAAGGCGAGAAGGAAAAAAATTAAAAGGGACCTTAAGAGGATGGCATGCATATGGAATGAACTGCCAGAGGAAGTGGTGGAGGTTGGTACAATTACAACATGTAAAAGGCATTTGGATGGGTATAATAATAGGAAGGGTTTGGCGGGATATGAGCCAAATGGGACTAGATTAATGCTGGCCAATGGGACTGGATTAATTTAGGATATCTGGTCAGTATGAACGAGTTGGTCCAAAGAGTCTGTTTCCGTGCTGTACATTTCTATGACTCTATATCTGATTTGGATTTTAATCTGGAAGCACTATTATTGATTTATCCAAAATTCATATTGTCCATGTTTATTGTTACATGTGTTGCCACCAGACCCTGGGCAAAGTTTCAGATGGATACCCCAATTATTAAGCTCCTGGGTCAGGAAGGATAAAAATGCTCTCTCTCTCCTTTTTACCCATCCGTTTGCAGCAAGGTTTTTTTAAAACAAAAAATCCCTTCCTCATTGATGCCTTTCTCCCAGACCAAAGGAACTTGTGTTTTAAAAAGACATGATTTAACCATGTTTTCTTGAGTTAACAAGAGTAATTTTATTATTACCGAACTTGGGAAGGAGTCATATTATAACATACATACAAATTAAAAATAAAGGCCTTTGTGAAAACGTTAAAAGGTATACAGATTAGTCGCTGGGTGGTTCGTGAAGGGCAGATTGTTGAATGTTGGTAGTTGAACAGTCACTTTCAGGATTCTTGACTTTTATAGTTCAGTTGAAGTCCATATGTCATGTATCCTTTGCTGATTGACTGGCAGCCCTCACAGGAAGAGAATCCTTTTTGTCCTCTTTTCTCCTTACTGGCTTGCTGGCTTCCTGGCTTCCAACACTTAGCAAGAGACCCCTTTGACCTGCAAAGCAGGGGTGACTAGTAAGTTCAACTGTGACTTTTGCAACACACAGATGCTCAAACCCCGGCTAGTGCTTATAATGACATCTGCACCCCACCACGCCTTAATTAGTGGTGGAAGAAGATGAAGCTGGAAGAACAATCTAATGATTGTCTAATATCATGGCCACTTTCAGTTCTGCCCTTAATCTGCAGCAATGATTTGAAATGTCAGAGCTTCTAATGTTCAACACATTCCCCAACCCATCTACTGAGGCACGAAAATGTGAAAAAGCAGCCTAACTTTGCACAGAATTAATTTGAAACTTGTTTCCTCAGGCCTGAAGTTAGATAGTGTAAATCTCTGACCAAATGATCCAATATTTACATGAACAAAACATTTTTGCTGTTTGTAGCCCAAAGATACAATTTGTAAAATGTGTACATTTGGTAAACTTTTTAAAACTACCCTGAAACATTCCTTTTGCATTAACTTCAACTCTGAGGAAAGAGTTCAATGCTGCTAAAAATCCATCACAGTTGAAGCTTTTTTTTTAGTTTAGTCCAAGAACACAGTGAATTGATTTGTTTCTGCAAGAGTTGCCAAATGGTTGACATTTAACATTACAAATGGATAAAATCAGTTTTGTACATGACGTGTACCCAAATACTTCAAAGCACTTCGCATGCCAATCACTATCTTTTTACAATGGTATGTACAGTAAATCAGTCAACAATGATATTTGTAGTACAACTTGTATTGAAAATCAAGCAGTTACCTTACTTCTGTTAGGCAAATGAAACTCTTTTTCTGAGTAATATACTGTACATTGTGATAATTATTGATAAGAAACTTTATGGTGAGCGAGCTAATTAAACTGAAGACAGGAAATGAGGGTGTGTTCGGGATTTGTGTCCAAACTCTCGCACTTCCTCCAGCCACGCAAAGTGAGAATCGTACCCCGAGACGAATGAGCCACCAGCAGTCCTGACAAAGGGTTTCGGCCTGAAACTTTGGCTTTCGTGCTCCTCGGATGCTGTGTGACCTGCTGTGTTTTTCCAGCTCCACGTTTTATTGACTCTAGCTTTCAGCATCTGCAGTCCTTACTGTCTCCAAGAGCTAATTAAACTGCAGAGTTTCAAAATTGTATGTAGCTCTTAAATTGTTCCTTATATTCTCTGTCATCATTTTTAAGCTTTCATTTTTTTATGGAACTGCCCATCTTTCTACTTCTTGGTCCTTATTTGAACCATGTTTTCTTGACCCTACCTGCTATCAAATATATAGCTGGTAGTGACTTCACCTGATGAATGAGCAGCACTTTGAAAGCTTGTAGTTTCAAATAAACCTGTTGGACTATAACCTGGACACCAGGTTATAGTGTGACGTCTGACCAGCATTTTTAGGTCAGCATTACAATGATCACATTGTGGCTGAAGTGTTTGCCCATTTGTTTATTACAGCCATTTTGACATGACCTGCACATCTGTAGAATAACTGCTTTTATTTTGCTTTCTTTCTAGGATCAAAGAAGCAGAAGCACACATACATAGTCAAAAGAAAGAAAGGTCTTACTCTGTCAAGGAAAAAGTCAAAACTGGAATGGTGAGTTGATGTCTAGCAAAATGAAGAACTCCAAGCCTTCTGAAATAACTAGATTTACTGACAACTTGACTCATGCTACAACTTTCTTTTCTCTGAAGCATAAACTCGGGCCTCCGAAGGAAGAGTTGCATGTTGGCAATGACTGTCAAGAGAACATTGTGGCAAAACCATTTTAAACCCTGAAAGAAAATGCTGTAACTTGATGCAGGGTTGAACTTGGCTCAGTTGGTGGCACCCTTCCCTTTTTGAGTCATGGGTTGTTGGGTTAGGTCATAATCTGGAAACTTGGCCACAGACTCGAGGCTGATATTCCTTGTATTCTTTCACAGGATGTGGACATCGCTGGCTAGGCTGGCATTTATTACCCAGAGGGCAGTTAGGAATCAATCACATGGCTGTGGGTCTGGAGACGCATGTTGACCAGACCAGCTGAGGACAGCAGTTGCCTTTTCCTAAAAGGCGTTAGTGAGCCACAGTTTTTTTTTCCTATAACAACAATCAACAGTGGTCATCATTAGACCCTTTAATTCCAATTTTTTTTATTGAATTTAGGTTCCACCGTCTGGGATTTGAACCCGGATCCCAGAGCATTCCCGAGATTTCTGGATCGATAGTCCAATGATATACCAGTAGGCTGTTGTCACTGAAGGAGAGCTCCACTCTGAGGTGCCTATTTTCAGCTGATTGTTAAAATGAAGCATTTCTGCTCTTTTTGGCAGATGTGATGCAATTATAAAGAAGAACACAGGAGAATTCTCCTTGAATTTATCCCTCATTCAGCATTACTAAAAAACAGATTATCTGGAAGACAAGATTGCCACCATGTCATGTCTGTAAACTGCTTTGCTTTGGGTTGCACTGATCTTGTGAAAGTCGCAAAATAAATGCTTTTTTTTTGGGCTTTCATATATGGAAATTATCAATGTAATATTCGTATTCCGTTAGAATAATCATAGTTTTTAAAAATACCATGGAAGCACCAACATTCTAATATTAGTAAGCTATGTTTAGTTCATATATTTGTGAAAAATTCGGTAGTGAAAATCGCATCACCTTACCAACTACATTTGAGTTCTTGCCTGAAAGGAAAGCCCTCTTAGACTGCTTTTCTGTACAGTTGAACATACAGATGCTAGAATCATTCTAGAAGCAGGTCAGTGAAACCCTGGGGCCAAATTCATTAGCAGGTTCAATTTAAGTGTGTATAGGAATGAAGAGGCCCAATTGAAAACTAGCCCCCATCAGAATAGTGTGTTGAGAGGTAGGCTCCAACTAGACAGCCTAACATTGTTCGCTTGTCAAGATTGGAATGTCTTCCTGTATTAAGGTCCAGAGTTAAGTGAGGTGGAGAGTAGGTGATTGAGAATGGTGAGAAGAGTGAATTTCGAGCACCTTGTGGTCACTTTGAGGAGTGAAACACTTTCTAACTCGGCAAGATAATCCATATTTTTTTCTATTTGTTTTGCGGGATGTGGACGCTGTTGGCTGGCCAGTATTTATTGCCTGTCCCTAGTTGCCCTTCAGAAGGTGGTGGTGAGCTGCCTTCTTGAGCTGCTGCAGTCCTCCTGCTGTGGGTTGACTCACAATGCCAATAGGAGGGAATTCTAGGATTTTGACCCAGTGACAGTGAAGGAATGGCAAAGATGTTTCGAGTCCGGATGGTGAGTGGCTTGGAGGGGAAATTGAAGATGATGGTGTTCCCATAAGTCTGCTGCCCTTGTCCTTCTAGATGGAAGTGGTCATGGTGGAAAGTGCTGTCTGAGGATCTGTGGTAAATTTCTGCAATGCATCTTGTAGATAGTACACACTGCTGCTACTGAGTGTCGGTGGTGTAGGGAGTGGATTCTTGTAGATGTAGTGCCAATCAAGCGGGCTGCTTTATCCTGGATGGTGTCAAACTTCTTGAGTGTTGTTGGGGATGCACTCATCCAAGCAAGTGGGGAGTATTCCATCAGAGTCCTGATTTAATGCTTTGTAGATGGTGGACAGGCTTTGGGGAGTCAGGAGGTGAGTTACTTGATGCAGTATGCCTAACCTCTGGCCTCTCTTGTGACCATTGTGTTTGTGTGGTGAGTCCAGTTGAATTTCTAATCAATGATAACCGCCAGGATGTTGAAGGTGGCTGATTCAGTGATGGTAACACGATTGAATGCCAAGGGGCTGTGGTTAGATTGTCTCTTGCTGGTGATGGTCACAGCCTGGCGTTTGTGTGGTGCGAATGTTCTCTGCCACTTTTCAGCCCAAACCGGGATATTTTCCAGATCTTAGATAACAAGGTGTAGAGCTGGATGAACAGAGCAGGCCAAGCAGCATCATAGGAGCAGGTAGGCTGACGTTTCGGGCCTAGACCCTTCATCAGAATTTCAGTTACAGTAAAAAAGCGATTTATTGTAACACATGTAGCTGAATCTAAATTAGTGAAAAGTAAGCATTTCTTATTTGTATTAAACTATAACCTTTCAAAACCCAAATACACACACACTCAATCACAATTAAGACAGATAAAAGACAAACAGTTTAATACATAAACAATGGGTGACAAATGAATACAAATAGGTTAAACAAAATTGTGAAGATGAAAATTCCAGAGCACTTGACAGTCCTTTTGATTTTAGTACTAATGACACTCTATTATCTGTAGGATGATGGTTGTTCTTTGATTGATTGTTGATACGGTAAACAGGGATCTTTTCATATGAAATCTTTCTTTCAAATTTTCTTTATTTCTCTGTCTTATAGATGAGAGAGAGAAAGAGAGGTGGATATTTTATGTCTGTAGGCATTCGATGTTTTTCTCCTCGGCTGCTTTTAGTACTTACAGCTTGTATACACTGCAACTCCACCAGAGCTTGTTCTCAGGCAGTATTTCCTTATTTTGAAAGATTTGTGATTCAGTCTTGAATTGTCCCTCTCACTACTTCCAAAAAGCACCATGTGTCACACGGCTCAACAATATGCAACACTTGATTTTTGAGTTGCAATAGTCTCCTAGTTTTTTCTGGTATATCAAAAAAATCTTCCATTTCAGTTTGTAGTTTCAAAGAAGAGAAAATATGTTGTTTCTTACAGTGTCTTCTGTTCTTGTTTCCACATTGTGGTGCCTTTAAAACTGATTTTTCTTTTTCTTTTGCAGCATGGCATCTCACTTAACTGTGGCTACAACAGTTACTTGCTTTCCCTAAATGTAAACAATTTCTAATAAACAAAGGGAAGGTGACAATAAAGACCATCAAGTCCATGATGTTCCATTGGCTGATGTCAAAGATCTATATGACACTGTATGCACCATATTTTCAAAGCAGTGTTCAGGAAAATAAGAGGTAGTAGGAACTGCAGATGCTGGAGAATCTGAGATAACAA